ACTGTCAGGTCTTTTCAGGTCTCTTGTAAATGAGTCCAATCAATCAATCAACCTTTATTTATACAGGTAAATCCCATTGAGCCTCGAGGACTCATTTACAAGAGAGACCTGATTTCAACAAAGAAAGATGACAACAATGGACAACAGCAACAACAATAAACAGTTGTAAAAAAGCATACTACAGTTTTTTTTTTTTTTTTTTTTTTTTTTTTAACAAATAGGATGGCTAAAAGGAAAAGGTAATAAAACAACAACAACAACAACAAAAAAAAAAGCTAGATTCCAAGACAAATGTAGAAAACTAAAAACAGGAACATGTCAGCATTGGACCCTGCCAGGTGTCCAACAGATTCTTAAAGACACTTAGAGAGGTCAAGGTAATGTGACAAGATCCTCGTGGCTCATTGGGATTAACCTGTTTAAATAAAGGTTGAATGAATGAATGTCAGCCTCAGCGTTTAATCAAATATGTTCTGTATTTTAAAATTTCCACTTAAAAAAAATGTTCAGACTAAAAATATTCAAAGTAAAAGCAATGTTGTCTTTAACAATACTCCCCAGGCTTTTGAGCTTTCTTTTTTTTTTTTTTTTTTTTTTTTTTTGTCACTGGAAATCTACAAATAAACTTCTCCACATATATAGACAGAGACATTTGTTTTAATAAACTCAACAGGAATATAATTACCATATATATGATTTATAAGTCTGATTATAGCTCCATAAAAATTTTTTGTGCATACAACTGCTCCAAAAAAAATCTCTTAATGTCATGATCCCTATAAAAAGTGATCCGCTTTGTCCAAAATCTTAAAAAAAAACAACGTAATGTTATATGTTAGGTTAATAAATCAGTCCTTCATTTGACTCTATCAATAATAAAACACATTAAGAACAGAAGAAACATCAGCTGGATGACTGCAAATCCAATGTATTTGTTTTTATTGTTTTAGTAAAACTAAATCCCTGTGCTAACATTTAACATCTGATATTATCATCATTAGCATTGTTAGCCTTGCTAAAAGTAACAGCTGTCTTTGTGCCTACCTCACATTGAAGTGGTCCCAACTTACAAAGCTGCTAACATCCTAATGCACCATGTTTCATGACAGGGGTTGAAAACTCAAAGAAGCAGAGCTGTAATCCACTCTACTTTCTGCTGAGCTCCAGTTTAAATTGACCATTAGCTACAACATGAACAGCAGATAACATTCCTATGTAGAAACCTCTGTTTCCATCTAACAAACTCTCAACTTCTGTTCTTCCTCTGGTTTTATTTTTAAACGCCTCACACAGTCAGTTCATATAGCTAATTTCATGTTTTCTCTGTGCAGTAAAAGCTTAACTAATGATGAGCAGAGCTGAGCTGTACTGCAACAGACAGATGCTCCACTGTGTTGCATTCAGTGAATAAAAAAACAACTTTTTGAGCGTTGACTAGCTATCACTGATCATGACTGGTCACACTGAATATTAAATGCCATTAGTGATCTGGTTCACCGGAGCATGTCCAGAGCTTTTCCAGAGATCTCACAGGAGATTGTATATCATGTACAAGATTAGGTGAAAACAGCTGAAACTCTGTCCCTTCTCATAGTTTTTAGTATAAAACTCACATGAAGGGTGGCTTGGTGCTTTAAACATTTGTAGTTCACCTCTGTTATAAACACATTATTTAAATAGGTTGTAATGCTGGTCGGTCTTTGAGGAGCGCTCAGTGTGTTCGTGCTCGTTGAAGACCTACTAAATGACTGTTTCCTGCACAATTATTGTCAGTTCAATTTATTTATATAGCACCAAGTCACAACAGAAGTTGTTTCAGGACACTGTATAAAAACCTCTTTAAAGATAAAGCATCTGTTTTGCACACCGCACACATTTTGAAACACTCAATTCAACATGTGAACCAGATTTGGTCCTCAACAAAAACAATCTTACCCTAACACAATACATACACTTTTATTCTTTTTTAATAAAAGATAATTTTGTTTTAAAATTGCAAATTGTAGTCAACATTTTTTAAATTATTTTCCTTCCTTCATTTTTTTCTAACTTGCTCTTGATGAAGACAGACACATTCTTCCCTCTCCTGCCTCCCTCCTACTTTTGCTCTTGTCCTGTGAATCTGTCTCAGATCCTCTCTTTACACATCTTCTAAATCGTAAATTATTATAGATCTGGTCAGCTGGTTTCTCAACACAATTTATATATATATATATATATATATATATATATATATATATATTTTCGACAAGAAGACAGGGTGCAAGAGAACACTCATGCCCTGAAGGGCACACACAGCTAGATATATCATGGATTCCTGGGGTGAATGGAAGATGATGTGCCTGTCTGTACTGTCTGTTGAGGACATTGAAGACGCGTACATGATTGGATTTATGATAACAGGGTTTCTGCTTTTTGGAAACGGCGGGTACCTGGGATATCGACAAATTAGGAAGATGTTGGCAGCATTTTTGGCAATGGTGAGGCTGTCTGCCTTATGTGAAGGATTGCACTGTGCTTCGAACACTCAGACTCCGATGCTTTGCAAGCTAAACCATAAGCTGGACACAATTTCTGAGAACTGCAGGCCACTTGCGGCTCTTAGAACTCGCTGGCATGAAGGACTTGACCTTGGAAAAGGCCACAAGCACGGATCGGCGGAATGACCACAAATCTGGTTGTTTGGATTTGCCATTGAGTGTACCAGCAGAAACTATTAAGGCAGACGTGAAGTCAGTAGTCGGCCTGTCCCAAAACAATTGTTGTTTATCTGAAACTGGTTTCCCTACTGGCCTTGAATAGGCCATCTTATCTCAGAATTGCTCCTGGAGGATATATAAATCATGAAGCTCTGCTCCCCCACCTGCTCTCCCCCCAAGAACATCTGTGGACCCTTATTAGAGCCTGAACCGGCTGATAGACACTGTGCTATCTTTATCAGGACTATGGAACTTTCTGGTAGCATTCACAGGCGATCTCACCGCCTTTATCTTATGTCTATCTATGTTGCTTTGTTCTTAGGTAGTTTTTTTTTGCTATTTTACACTGTGCCCTGTGTGTCAAGGACACAGTTTGATCTTTAT